AAAAGCATTACTCTTGGTTATGCACCAAAAAAGGCAATATAACTACTGCTATCAAAAGGTAAAATTCTTAGTAATTCACAGAAAAAAGGCAATATTACAATTGCTATAATAAGGCATTATTTTAATAATGCACAAAAAATGCAAATATCATTATAAATAACTACAAAAAGACCATGATGGCCCTGTAGTCGCTCACCTGGCTAAAGATTGCAATAGGGATGGGGCCCAGGGATAAAATTGAACAAATCTTTGTAGAGATCCACTAGAGAATGCTACATGCAAAATTTCAAAGCTGTAAGCCTAGTGATTCAATACATGTAGATAATCTAAATTTTTTTTTTATTTATTTTGTTATTGTAAAGTAATAAAGGGAAAAACATCAAAATTTTACAGAAAAGGTCTCATATAATGACCGTTCTAAGATTCTTGCTATTGTTAGCACTGTAGAAACAAATTTCGACTCCGTGTCACCCTCAGAGGACACTTTGGTGAATACTGTCAAGGCACAGACAAAGGTAACATCCAACCGTGACAGCACAAGGACATGAGGAGTGAAGGCAACTCTACTAAAAAGGACTGGGGATGAAAATGATGCCAAACAAGAGCTGTCCGTAAGACAGCGCGCTCGACTTTTTTATTGCTTGCCAATAAAAAAAGTTTTTGCAGTAAAAGGCAATACAAGAATCTCTGTATTTTTAAAGTGAACAATGGCCATGAGCATTAAGATATTTAGTGAAGAATTATTTTACTGAATTGTGTGATACCCTTGAACACTGCAGCAAAGTTTGAAATGTTTAAGTCAAAAGAGGGCTGGTAAGAAAGAAAAAAAAACTGAGTTGAGCCTTAAATAAATTTAATAGTATTAAACCCACTTTGAGAGAATAAGGTATTTTTACGTCACTCAGAACACCTTGGTAAATGACATAATAACATAATTTTTCAAGAAATCTATTTCAAGTACAAAAAGAGAAAAATAACTAGTTGTTTGATACCCTTGAATATTACAGCAATGTTTATATGACATAATTTATGGTAAAGTGAACAAGTGGATAGGAATGAATTTTTTTAGATTTTTTAAGTTTTTTAGTGCTTGCCTATAATACAAAACATTGACAGTTAAGGGCCATAATTCAAATAAAATATTTGACAGAATTACCTTCTCCTGGACATGTTTGGGAATCATGATTGTAAACAAGTATTCCAACTTTCAAATTAATATCTCAAACAGTTCAGTCAAAAAGTGGACTGGTACTAAAAACTTAACCAAGATTCTAAGTCGATAAAAGGCCTTAATTTTTAAAACAAATCCTTGACAGAGTTACCTTCTCTTGCGTACAGATGGGGGTAATGATGTGAAATAGCATTAAAAGTTTCAAAGCAATATCTCAAAGGGTTAAGGCAATAAGTGGATTTTACCCATATTCAATGTATTTTCTAAGTCAAAAAGGGGCATATTTCTGTCAAAAACCTTGACAGAGTTATGTCCTCTTGTCTGTTGATGAAGGTCGTGATGGTAAACAAGTATGGTCAGTTTCAAAGCAATACCTCCAATGGTTTTGAAATAAAGTGAGGTGGTACAAAAAACTTAACCAAGCTCAATACACTTTCTAAGTCAAAAAAGGGCCATAATTCTGTCAAAAACCTTGACAGAGTTATGTACTCTTGTCTGTAGATGGAGGTTATGATGGTGAACAAGTATGGTAAGTTTCAAAGCCATACTTGTAATACTTCTGAAATAAAGTGGGGTGGTACGAAAAACTTAACCAAGGTGTGACGCCAACGCCGACGCCGACGCCGACGCCGGGGCGAGTAGGATAGCTCCCCTTTTCATAGAAAAGTCGAGCTAAAAAGGAAATTAATAACAAGAGCTGTCCGTAAGACAGCGCGCTCGACTTTTTTATTGCTTGCCAATAAAAAAAGTTTTTGCAGTAAAAGGCAATACAAGAATCCCTGTATTTTTAAAGTGAACAATGGCCATGAGCATTAAGATATTTAGTGAAGAATTATTTTACTGAATTGAATATTACAGCAATGTTTATATGACATAATTTATGGTAAAGTGAACAAGTGGATAGGAATGAATTTTTTTAGATTTTTTAAGTTTTTTAGTGCTTGCCTATAATACAAAACATTGACAGTTAAGGGCCATAATTCAAATAAAATCTTTGACAGAATTACCTTCTCCTGGACATGTTTGGGAATCATGATTGTAAACAAGTATTCCAACTTTCAAATTAATATCTCAAACAGTTCAGTCAAAAAGTGGACTGGTACTAAAAACTTAACCAAGATTCTAAGTCGATAAAAGGCCTTAATTTTTAAAACAAATCCTTGACAGAGTTACCTTCTCTTGCGTACAGATGGGGGTAATGATGTGAAATAGCATTAAAAGTTTCAAAGCAATATCTCAAAGGGTTAAGGCAATAAGTGGATTTTACCCATATTCAATGTATTTTCTAAGTCAAAAAGGGGCATAATTCTGTCAAAAACCTTGACAGAGTTATGTCCTCTTGTCTGTTGATGAAGGTCGTGATGGTAAACAAGTATGGTCAGTTTCAAAGCAATACCTCCAATGGTTTTGAAATAAAGTGAGGTGGTACAAAAAACTTAACCAAGCTCAATACACTTTCTAAGTCAAAAAAGGGCCATAATTCTGTCAAAAACCTTGACAGAGTTATGTACTCTTGTCTGTAGATGGAGGTTATGATGGTGAACAAGTATGGTAAGTTTCAAAGCCATACTTGTAATACTTCTGAAATAAAGTGGGGTGGTACGAAAAACTTAACCAAGGTGTGACGCCAACGCCGACACCGGGGCGAGTAGGATAGCTCCCCTTTTCATAGAAAAGTCGAGCTAATGAAGAAAATCAATATCAGTCTGTCGGAATCACTTCCTCTGTACACAAAGAGGTAAGTTTTTTCTGAAGTTTAGATGTACTTGTAAGGGTATTTTGTTTCAAAAGATTTATAAGTATTTATAGTGCAAGATATGTTGTAATTTGTTAAATCCCACTTAAGTTGGGAAAAAAATGTTTTAATTTTTATATACTCAAAAGAATTTCGGGCATATAAAAATTTGGGCATTCTTGACAAGTCCAGTGGTTCGGTTGTTCCCTGAGATTGCCAGTCCCGTCCGTCCCAAGGTACATAAACATCCTTTTGTTTCAAAGGTTGAGGCAGTGATCGTGCCCAACCTGGCAAGGGAGGTAATCTCTGCCATCACCTCCCCTGTTTCTGCAGGAACAAGAAGTAAAAGCTGTAGGACTCGTTAGCCTGGTAGGCCCTGTAAGGCCGGTAGGCCCAGAAAGGCCGGTAGGCCCCACCACGTTTCTGCAGAAGATCCGAGAGAACCTGTATAACCCGTTCAGTAATCCAGGTTAATCCCTATCAGAATAATTATATTTTCAAAAGTCCGCAGCACTAGACTTGACAGGTGTATATTATATTATTTTGCTAAAATTTTTTTTTTGCTCATCAACTGGAAAAAATTTCTAAAATACAAAGTTTACTTAACATGTTACTGCAATTAGTAGGTTATGCCGGAAAGGCACATGGTAAAGACAGAGAACCACCATCTAGTGGGGAGGAGGTCAACAGATTAGAGAACAGGGATGTCATCTCAGCTGAACCTATGCTCTGTGATAGCCAAGTGGCATTCTCTACTAGTCCATTGGCTCGGTTGTTCCATGTGGCTGCCAGTCCCGTCAGTCCCAAGGTACATGAACATCCTTTTGTTTCAGAGGTTAAGGCAATGCTTGTGCCCAACCTGGCAAGGGAGGTAATCCCTGCTGTCACCTCACCTGTTTCTGCACGAACAAGAAGTAAAAGCTGTAGATTAGGGAGAAATATGGAAAAGAAAATAATATGGAAAAGAAAATATTTGAGTATTTCAGTAAAATTCATTGGAAGTATTCTTTTAATGTTGTAAATATTTGAATGATGTCAAGTTTGAGTGTAATAACTTTTAATATGTTTGTGTGTTTGCGAATAAATGAATAAATGGAAAATAAATAAGTAGAACTAGAAGTAGAAACTGTATTCTTATGTGTTTATTTCGGGCCTGCTGAATGTTATTTTCATGCAGGACTCTGTTAGCCAGACTTACCTCTTCAATGTTACCTAAGGAGAAGAGACTAAGTTTGGTTACGCTGGTTGCAGCGCGGTGGGATATGGACTTTAACACACTTCTGGAGAATTAAACGTCAAAACATGGAATTTAATAAAGTGACATCTTTTAAAGAGATTTATGAAAGGAGTCCTCCTCCAAAGAAACTACAAAGTAACTTTGTTCGGGCAAATCCAAAACTAAGTATTTTCTAAAACCTATTCAGTCTAGAGGTTATAAAGTGCACCAAAATCTTCCATTTGTGTTTGGTTCAGAAAAATGAGATTAATAAAGTTATGTCAATAATTGAAAGTGATGAGTTTATAAAAAGAAAAGTGCTGGGTTTTTTTTGTGTTGCTCCTGTTATTTTCAAATTCAGTAGAATATATATGGATATAGAAAAGGTGAAAGTGTTTACAAAAAAGAAATGGAATAAGAAATTTAAGAATGCTTCCTTCGGCTAATTCAGAAAATGGCAGAATTAATTAATGATACAGAAAAAAATTTATTGCAAATCATGGTGGAATTACACAATTACATACAACACTTTCAGCTTGAATTTCAGAATTTTTTTGAGCATTGTTCGTATACAACTTAATCAGAGGAACAACGCAATTACAGATTTGAAGAAGGAAATTAATCAGAAGACTGATTTAGATCTGCTAGTTCGCAAAGTCACTCCATATAATATGAAATCATCAGAATAATTCATTCAGTTTCTTTTTTAAATAAATGTGTTTTATATAAATGCTAAACAGTTAGATGAAGTGTGTTATCATAGTGTGCATGAGATGTATGCATCATTTCTTAAAGTGCAGTGAAAGAAGTTTTTTTTTATCGCCAAGTATTTAGGTTTAGATATATTGAATTGGTTATATAATCAATAAAGCATCAAGATGCCCCCTAAGTGTGTTTCAGAAAATCAGGAAGGGTCGCCTAATCCTCAAGATGATGAAAGTGTTGAGGATGACCTCCGTTGTCAGATTTTGGATTTAAAACGGAAATTAACAATTTCCGAGGAAACAAGGGAGAGAACTCTTCAGGAATCTATAAGGGAACGGAATATGGTGATTGACCTTTCTCAAGAGCAAATTGATAGAATAAGTTCACAAAGGAGAAAAGGGCATGATATACCGATGCCACGTCAAGTTCAGTTCGATGGAAAATCTTCAGCCTTCATAAAATGACATATCCTATATAAATTAGGGTGTACAACTACCGTCTGAAAAGCGTGCTGTAGTCAGCTTTATTTTAAAGTACAATTTAATGTCATTAAAATCAAAAATGTATATTTTATCCATTATAACTAAAAATCTAAATGTTGTTTACATGATGTCAGCCTCTCTTAACCATACTATATAAAAGGTATGAAAGAAAAGAAAGGAACATAGAAATCTGTCAAAAATGTCTTGCTCAGGTAAATTAGTCTATTATTTTAATAATGTTAATTTCAAAGAGTGAATTGTGAAAATAAACCAATACCCTATATTTTATAATTATTATAATTTATATTAATATTTCAGGAAAATTGCTAAACTGTACCAGAAAAGTGGAAGAAGGGAGAAGAACAAATAAAGATCTCAACCAGGTAAGCCTTACAATCTATTGGATTCCACAGTTGGTGACCTTGTACCAGATACCGTATATTCTGCATTTAACAAAAATATTGTGTTTTTTAGATTCATATTTAATGTTTCTATTTCTTATATCTACGGGACAAGGACAACGTGTTATTGAAAATATTAAAGTATATGTAAAACTGTCAAATAACAGACTTTTCTCTGTAGAAAAAAAGATTTTAAAAAAATGCAATTAAAAATACCTTTAAAAACGATACAAAATAAATTACGCATATGCCGATGAAACCGACTTCAAACCAGAATCATATGGTATAAGTCGTGAATTATAGAATTATACAATTAATATTTGTATAATTTTAACAAGAAATCATATTAACAAAATTAAAGCCACATAGTTTTCATATTGCTTCACAATACGCTGATGCTTGCCAAATGAATGGACTGTGTACCTGGATTCTTTGTAAAATTATAACTAATAAATCAAATTAATAACTTAATAGTGTATTAGTGATGAAACTTGATTGATCTTTCATTTTCAAATTAAGAGTTGTATGATTAGGAAAAGATATTGTATCAAGCATATGTTGTTGTTGTTTTTTCAGGCATCTCAAAAGAAGCAGAATATGGTCATCATGAAATGGTCTAGAGACATTATAAATCATTTCTGGTTCTCCTGTCAAAAGGCTGAGAGCAGTGTCTATTCTAGGACGCGCGATTGCGCGATTCATGCTAGTATTTCACAGATCGCGTACAATTCAAAATCATGTGCGTGAAAATCGCGCATCTATAAAATCGTTAAACTTCCATCCTGCATTATATTTGGTAGTTTTGTTTACATTTACACCGGAAACCGAAGGGAAGTAACTGTAAGCTAATTATAATAATTTAGTACCGTATGGTACGGGTTATGTGAGTTGACAGAAATTAACGGAATGTTCCGTACCGACCGGAACTAGTGTGCTAGGTCTGACAGTTATGCGCCATTTTAGTGTAGTAAATAATCAAGAAAAATGAGGCAATTCTTAGCTTGGCTACTATCTAGACGTGAAAGATAGGTCTATTGTTTGTTTTGTCAATCCCTTAATAATCAATTGCGACAGTTCTATAATGATTTGTTTTCGTAAAAAATTAAGGGGGGGACAACTTCTGCTGCCTTAGTTTTAATTATTTTGTCGGTTGAACGCCTCAGTTTAAACTTAATGCAGATGATTTAACATTGGCAGTTTATATTCACGAATTCGAAAACCTAGCTTGAAACGCCGTTTTCCGGTACTTTCTGTACATATACTAAGCTCTGGGGAATTCACCTAATGCAGTGTAATAGCGAACTCAATGTTTTCGGCCTTTTTTTAAATTGAACTGAAATAAAACAGTTATTTCTTTATAAGAAAATAATTAAATATCATTGTATGAATAATTCCATACAAAAAATGAAGTAAATACACAAGTTTATGCAGAAAATAACCTTATTAAATATTATGGAAGATTCCACTACGTCTGTTCGAATTTTATTGATTTTCATTATAAATAATTTATTTTTTTGAATAATTTGCAATACGAATATCGATAATTTTAAAAAAACATCATTTTTTTCACCTTAAACGGTTAAATCATGATAGGAAAATAGACAAATCTCGTAACTGTGTTATGTACTTCATTTTGGTGTAATTCCCTAGAGGTAAAACGGTAAAGTACCGGAAAATTGTGTTTAGCTAGGTTTTCGAAAAGGTCACCCCATGATTTTGAAAATCGCCCCCTTTTTTGAAATAGAGGGGGGAAAATCACCCCTAATTTTGAAATCCTAGAATAGACACTGTGAGAGTTATTCAGAGTTTCTGGTATGTACATATAAAACTTTTTGTGGAAGGCAGGATTTTTTTCCATAACAATAACCACACTAATTACTTAAATATACCTGTCCTGTCTGGACAAAATCATTACCATTTTTAGCCAAATAAAGATTACAAATATGTATTGGCTAAATAGGGAACAGTGCAGACCATAATCAGGTGGCACAGATGAGGTTACATTTCTTGGTCTGCACTTGTCACATGGGTATATTCAATGGCTGAAAGCATACTAGAGTTAAGATGTTTGCTTTGATGAATTCTGTATCAATATTTGTATGGCAACGATTTATTAGGAACACTTGCATATATTGATTGTGTGTGTGTGTGTGTGTGTGTGCGTGCATGCGTGCAAGTTGATTTCTGTATAAAGTAGACTGTTATATCCGTCTTACTGTGTATCATTACAGACATAAAAATTCTCTGTTTTCATTTGGTGCTTGTATTTTAGGGCCTTTGGAGAAGTGTTCTTCACCATATTACCAACAAACATGAATGGATAATTCCCCACCGAAGATTGTACCAATGCCTTCATGATCCTCTGGGAGAAGATGAATCAAGAAGCAAACCATGGCTTCATCCTGAAAAAGACAGTCATGTTCTCAAAAAACTGGCTAACATTGTTTTGGACAAGAGACTATTGAAAAATGTGGAGCACTTCTTAAATTTCAGGTATTTGTTGATGAATGTTTTTGATATTTCCATATACAAATAGTCCTGGAGGTAAATAAAAGACATAGTGGTCAATAGTTGATGTATTCAATTTTTAGCATTAAGTTATATATGTTAACTTATTGTAGAATTGAAAATTATATTATGTCATAGTTTTCTTTTATCCCAGCAGACTAACATTTTGGAAAATGAATAGTCATTATATAAGTGGACTAGTGTCAACACAATTATAATATTTTGGTACCTTGTAAGGAAACATGATTTTTTATTGTAAAAGTTTTTTGATCTTTTAAATCAATTTTGGTGACAACAGTTCCCAATAATTACGCCGGTTGAAATAATAATGTGTGTAGGTACCTCTATCCTCCAAGAAGGAAAATACCAGGAAACTTAACCATTCTACAAATGGGGACCTGATAAGTAGTTTATACCATCCCAGCAAATGTATAAATACAAAATACTAGCTTAATGTATCTAGTGTTAGTACTCAATGGTATTTCTATGGATTTGATTAGAACTTGGTTTTCCAGTATTATTTTTGTTTATTTAATAACTTTGCATTTTCTGATCTTTCTATTTCACCAAACATAAGTCAAACAAATGTGAACCAGAAAAAAATGTTTTTTCAGGAGCACTGCAGAACTAGAGGGGTTCCATCAACACATACTGATGTACTGTGCTAAACGTTTTGCATATACACCACCCGTATACAGGGCAAGGAACCTGCTGGCTGCACTGGACCACAACAAAAATGCAAACAGGGGTGAAATGAAAACAAGGATGAATCTACAAGGTATATTTAATATTCAACAATTTTCATGTCGGCTTTTTTGAAGAAATAAATTTGAGTTATTTCAACAGTCATCTCATCCTTTGCTGTTGCAGTTATTATGAAATTATTGGTGATTTTTTTTTTATATGATGGATTGTCTTCATACTAGGAAACGAGACAAAATATCTTTTAGTAAACTAGATTGTACTTGACCTTGACATTCAAGGACAAATGTTTGCTTGATTTTTATTATAATTGGCTAAAATTTTGTTATTTATGAATGAAATGTATTCACACTTTTTATAACAGGTACCACAGGACTTACAACAAGTCAGGAAGGTGGTCAGTTTATGCCTGCAAAGAACCAAAATCCTTCGATTACATTCAGGAAGTCCTTGTGAAGGCATTAATGAACAGACTAAATGACACCAAGGAAATGTATAGGAAGGTGACTTTGGACCCAACAGATGTCCAGCTAATAAGCAAGACAATGGCACCTGTTGAACCGCCATCCACACAACAGCTGGTTCAAGAAAAGAAATCCCGCTATTATAAGTGTCTGTATGGCACTGTTATGGGAAAGCTTATTAAAAAATGCAATTAAAAATACCTTCAAAACGATACAAAATAAATTACGCATATGCCGATGAAACCGACTTCAAACCAGAATCATATAGTATTAGTCGTGCTCTTTTATGTTTGTTAAAGGTCTGGCATATAATAAATGTAATCTTTGATCAAAGATCCACAGAATTTAAAAGTTTGTTTATAGATTTAGTTGATGTGGATACAAGCTGGACCGGTCTCACAGAGTTTAACCGTTACACCAAAACTGTACAAATTAACATAAACTATAAACAAGATTGCATTTGTGAAAAAGTGAATTTCAAGGAGTGAATTGAAAAAAGAAGGCAATACCCTATATTTCACAATTACCATGAAAAGTCCAAAAAGGGGGTGGAGGAAGATTCCTGACAAATTTGCCCGGGCGGTTAGGGAAATTAAACAGGCCACTCAGGAGGGAAGGCTCTGAGGAAATCCAGGGGACCTTATCAACCAACTTGGGGTGGTGTCCTTGTCCCAAGAGGAATTGCAGGATATTGTCTATGGCCAATATCAAATTGCTGAGACTAAAAAGGATCATAGATTTCTTAGGCAGCTCCGATACCGAGCTTACTTAATCCTAGAGCGGAGCTTTGTAGCTAATAAGATCTCAGGGAGGGGAAAAGCAAGGTCATTGGGACAAAGAGTGGTAGAAAATATCTCTAGTCCCTGTGGGCAAGGACGTAGGGCAGTAACAAGTACTGTCACTAACCTTAGTCCTGATAGTGTAGTATTCGTAGGGTTTCTTATCCGAATACCAGTCCACCTGCATTAATGCAGGGAACCAGTCCCTCCCCAGTGACGTCACTTCCTTATCCGTTCTTCCTGCTGTAATACAACCTGTTGTGATTTGCTGAGATCTTTGCCATCATCCGAAGTGTGCGACTATTGCAGTTTGCCTGCGGCTGATTTTGTTGTGTAGCATCTTTGTTTAGGTGAGTCATACTTTATTGGCGCTGCGAGCAGCCAAATATTGCAAGATTTTTGCAATTTATCCCAACCTGTAAAAAGTTCGGGAAAGTTCGCCCGCCATATTACCACGTAAAATAAAGTGGTTTATTGACGATTGTATCCTTAAAAATATTACTTCATTTATTTATTTTCTTCCCGAAATTAATTTTTAATTTCGAATTTCAATTTTTTATAGTCTTTTGGGACATTTTCAAGTTATTGTACCTTGTAAATACTCCGTGCATTATTTTCTGCCGAAATTTATTTTTTTAGTCATTAATTATATATATTTTCTTTATCATTTTAGAATTTAATACATCATTTAGAGAATCGTCAACTCTTCATTTGTCGTATACCCGACCTGTCTTTGACAGTGTTCGGTAGCTCCACACTTGTCAACCAAGCCCTTTGCTGTTTCTGATTGTTTTCAAGAGTTTCCATTCCTGTCAATTTCTTGACAGAGATGGAAGGAATAACAGAACCCAATACAGCATTTAACAAAAATTATCGTGTCTTTTTAATTCTTATTTTGTTTCTTTTTCTTATATCAACTGGACAAGGACAATTTGTTATTGAAAATTTTAAGATATATGTAAAACTGTAAAATAACAGAATTTTCTCTGTAACAAAAAGATTTTAAAAAAGAATGCATTTAAAAATACCTTCAAAACGATACAAAATAAATTACGCATATGCCGATGAAACCAAATTCGAACCAGAATCATACAGTATTAGTCGTGCTCTTTCATGTTGTTAAAGGTCTGACATATAATAAATGTAATTTAAAACTCTGTTTATAGCTTTAGTTGATGTGGATTCAAGCTGGATCACGCTCACAGTGTTAAACCGTAACGCCAAAACTGTACAAATGAACATAAACTATAAACAAAATTGCATTTGTGAAAAAAATGCAGTGCTCTTGTTGAATTATAATATTTCATAGAAATTGGTTGTTGACAGTGGTTGCCCAAATTACAGACACAGGTTAACCCCACTTGCTGTGCTGTTGTATATATATTCATACTAAATGCATTGTTTTACATACAGCTCTCAGTGACTCATGCTTTTTGTTTCTGTTTTCTATTTACAGATTCTGAGGTTATAAAAGAAGAATTCAGACACAGAGAACAACCATCTAGTGGGGAGGAGGTCAAGGTATTAGAGAACAGGAATGTCATCTCAGCTGAACCTATGCTCTGTGATAGCCCAGTGGCATTCTCCACTAGTCCAGTATTTTGGTTGTTCCCCCGAGGGTGCCAGTCCGGTCCATCACAAGGTACATAAACATCCTTTTGTTTCAGAGGTTGAGGCAGTGTTTTAGATTACTATTAAATTTTCTATTTTTTATATCTACTGGTCAAGGACAAGTTATTATTAAAAATATTAAAGTATATGTAAAACTGGATCACGCTCACAGAGTTTAACCGTAACACCAAAACTGTACAAATTAACATAAACTATAAAGAAGATTGCATTTGTGAAAATGTTAATTTCAAGGAGTGAATTGAAAAAAGAAGGCAATACCCTATATTTCACAATTATAAATAATTTATATTAATATTTCAGAAAAATGGCTTAACTGTACCAGAAAAGTAAAAGAAGGGAGAAGAACAAATAAAGATCTCAACCAGGTAAGCCTTACAATCTATTGGATTCCACAGTTGGTGACCATGTACCAGATACTGTATATTCTGCATTTAACAAAAATATCGTGTTTTTTAGATTCATATTTAATGTTTCTATTTCTTATATCTACGGGACAAGAACAACGTGTTATTGAAAATATTAAAGTATATGTAAAACTTTCAAATAACAGACTTTTCTCTGTAGTAAAAAGATTTTTAAAAAATGCAATTAAAAATACCTTCAAAACGATACAAAATAAATTACGCATTTGCCGAAGAAACCAACTTCGAACCAGAATCATATAGTATTAGTCGTGCTCTTTTATGTTTGTTAAAGGTCTGGCATATAATAAACGTGATTTTTGATCAAAGATCCAAAGAATTTAAAACTCTATTTATAGCTTTTGGAGAAGAAAAAAATGAAGGTGTAAACCAGGTAAGCCTTACAATCTATTGGATTCCACAGTTGGTGACCATGTACCAGATACCCTATATTCTGCATTTAACAAAAATATTGTGTTTTAGATTCCTATTTAATGTTTCAAGATTCGGGGTGCCATTAGAGATATTTACGGATCAGGGATCAAATTTTGAGAGTAAATTATTTAGGGAAATATGCCAACTTTTAGGAATCAACAGAAAACGAACCACTGCTTATAGACCCTCTGCAAACGGACAAATAGAAAGATATAACAGAACATTAATGGATGCCGTATGCTGTTTCGTGGACAAAAAGCAAGACGTATGGGATAAATATTTGCCTCAAATTGCAGGTGCCTTACGATCTTCGGTCTGCAGAAGCACTGGTTTTACACCAAATAAACTAATGTTGGGCAGGGAGGTCGTGATGCCCTTAGAATTAGTATACCCTTCTCCGAAAATTCATTTCGAGTCTAGTCATGAATATGTTTCAAATTTACAAGATACCATTAAAGGACCACATGAAATAGCTAGAAATACCTTAAGGTCAGAACAAATGGTTTCTAAGCGTGATTATGATACACCTAATGGTTTGCAGCCCGTACCCGATTTCTGAAAGATATAGCTTCAAACAGATGAAGAAAAAATTAAATAAGCTTAATGTAGAAGTTAAGTCCCAGAAAATCAAGTGTCCTAAAGCATTTGCGCAATACATGAGTACTATCCCTCGAGAGTACCTAGGGTCGAACACGGAGGAACTCAGGCAGATGATTCCACAACCACATGAGCCCAGCGAAAAATTCCTCGCTAAAAAGAAAGAAGGGAAAAAACCATTACTACACCAACAAATAGATAAGCTACTGGAGATAATGCAACGTTATCACATGGATGATAAATCCAAGCTTTTCGAGACAATATGTGGATCCCATACAGAGGAAGAAGAAGAATACGTGACATTAATACGTGACAGAAACTGGAATCGAATATATGCAAGTGCGAAGGAAGAGTATGCAGTGAGAAATAAAATAGAAAACAAGACATACTATGAATGGTTCATGAATGACTTAAAGACATTACCAGGAAACAAAAAATGGATGACAATGGAAGAAACAATGGAAGTTGTAGACAAATGGTGCGCCGAACAAGGGATTGATGGAGACGACTTCCTAAGAGACTGCCACAGAGTACTGAAAATGACAGATAACAAGAAAAATGCGTTGTACTTACAAGGAGAAAGTAACGCGGGAAAAACATACATGATGCACGGCCTAGAACCAATAGAAGAGAAAGCAGGATATCATACTACATCAAAAGAGTTTCCATTTGGGGAGGCCGTGTATGCTCCGGTAATACTTATCAATGAGTTAACCATTGAATCGCCAGTGAAGGCAGAGCTGTACAAGAACGTAATGGGAGGGGAACCTACGCAAGTAAACATAAAAAATAAGCCGTCAGTCCTTATGGGAAGGAAACCATGCATAATAACGAATAACATTCCCATGTGGAAGT